AAAAACATGGCGACCACTAGTTCGGGGAGCCTCCACCAAGAGCGCTGAACTATAGGGACAGCAACTCTCTCTAGTATCTTCTAGCTCGTTGGTAGACACACAATCAATTTTTTTCTCTCACTATGATTTCACTTCAATACTACGTCATCTTGTCGAACTTTTATCAATTTAAATAATTACTCCTTCATCAGCCATAGGTTCGCCTTCTCCGCCATTACAAAACACTTCCCTACAAAAATGAGTCCATTATCACAGTTTCAGCCTATCACATAAATCATGTTTCACTCTCACTCACCCCGCTCCACTCGCAAATACTAATGATAAGACTTAATATACAACTAAAGCAATAACTATTTTGTGTAGAACACTTGTCTTTAGTCATATCTTTTTACAATATCAAACATCCGTCAGCAAAATGTTTTTCACACACTTCATATATGAATCAGTACGAATAATTCTCTCTTGTCACGCCTAGATGTAATTAAAATCCATATCCAAGTTACTTTTATAAATACAATGAACAAAAAGTCAGAATTATTCTTAAATATAAACAATTGACTTTAAAATCGACAAAGTCCTCAGCTATTCTACAGATATACGTAATTCTGTGGATTGATGAACTCAATCGTAGACCTCAGTCGTCGTCCAATGGTGGCGCGCATTGATGATCTCTTGTATCTGTGATGCAATGTTGGGCAAAAAAAGTCCAGGAAAGAAATTATTTTGTGAATATATTATGGATTATGAATGTAAATCACTGCCTATAGCACTCCTGACCTTCAAAGGAGGCTAGCACGAAGTTTCATCGTTATTCGACCAGTAAATTCAGAGATTACCGTGCAATAACGCAACGCCCTTGTGTCTATATATTAGTACCAACGAGTTAGAGATATATAGAGTGGCAATAGCACCGCCATCTTTGAAACAGTAGAGCATGTCGCGCCATCTTTAGGGGCAACCTTGGCGGGATTTCAAATTTTTCTTCGCATGCAATGCACTGAAAAGAATACAATCTTGCTCGTACTTTATTGAAATTAAAATAATTATTTAATTATTAAATTATTTCATTTCAAAATTAAATGTAAACAAAATTGAATTTATATCATTTCAATGGATAAAATATAGTTATATCAACTAAATGAGTTATACTCTATGGTTATAACACAAGTGAACATTCCATCTAATTTAATTTCTCACTATTTGCTGGTGAAAAATTTTAGGTTTTACTTATTGGAGAGTTTTGCGCTTGTATGCAATTAACAATCGGAAACTGCTATTCTCACTGAATAAAAATTGGTATGGGGTAATATTTATACGGAAAGGGTTTCACAAAAGGAGGAAAAGAAAAAAAAGAGTCGGCGGGAAAAGAGACGGGGATTAATAAAAATAAGTCTAATAGAAATAATAACAGTAAATAACGGTAAGTATAGTTCAAGATGAAAAAACACAAGTTCTTCATTAGGTATTACATTAGGATAGTTTTATAGACTTTTAAATAAAATTACTTTTGTAACATCTGTCTCACATTCTTCCTTTATCTCTGCAGATTTTTTTTACAACATAGTGAATTCTGCATGTAAATAATTTGTTCAAATTTAATTTATAAGAGATGCAAAATGAGAGATTTCGATCTGCACCGCGTAGCTGTAAAGATTATGATCACAATCAAATAATGAGCATTCGATGACATGAATCATTCAGTATAAATTTTAGCACTCTCTTATATTTCTTACAAATTACCTCATTTCTTCTGAAAAATTGTCCAGAAATTTACAGATTTTTCACTCTGGCAGGATTCCATAGAATATTGACATCTTTCAGCATATAATTCTTGATTTGGCTTTCCCTATGTTTTGAAACTGAGGTTCAAACATTCGAGACATTTAAATTTTTGTTGAAATGCCATAACACAATACTTCCTGCAATGTATTTGAACAACATTTTCAACACAAGACCTGAGTATCTAATACCCTGATTAGCAATAGTCATGGTCATCTACTACTTTGCAAGTGCTTACATTTTTCAAAGTCTGACCCTCCTCAGTAAGCATTTCACATCAAAAAAGTGGCTATTCTCATTCTCAGATAATGACCGGTGCAATTAATATTTCCTATCGCGCATGGATTGTATAGTCATTGGATTAGTTCTCGTGACCACCTCTGTTCGTAAAAGAACTAAAAAAATTCGCAAAATGGTTTGGCTAAGCCTGCGATTAATAGGTATTTAACTGTCCCAATATAATTTCTGCAATACCTTCAATGGTTACAGTCATTGACAATCCATACAAGGGTATCTTTCTGGCTGATCTCCACACAGATGAGCCATCAGCAAAGTTTAAATTTTGAAGTAAACAATGCACTCATCAATTTGACTGTACACTGCATCTTTGTTTCTCTTAGAAATGGAAGCATTTGTCCTTTTACCATTGGATGACAACTATTTAATCAGTCAAATATTAAATCATTTGTTTTTACGAACTTCACTGTACTTTACAACACTGAAATTCATTCATCCCAATATTTTTGGAAAACAACTTGCTTTAGCCACTGACAGACTGAGCGTCTGAGCTGCTAAACCAACTTTATTTTTCTGTGTTTCGTACAGTAAATGCTGTCTTCATAATTTATTTGCAGCATGCACCCTTCTTTTCTTGAACATTTGTTAGTTTTTCAAAATACTCTCAATTAACTTCATTGAAATTTCTGCAGTACCATCAATATGAATTTTTTCTCTGTTAGAGGATTACGGGTTAATTCAGCATATGAAGCAGCATCAAAAAACAGAAGAGTTTTAACCTGTGGCTTTGTACTCGAGAACAATTAAGCCCTAACACACCGAAGAAAGGTATTCAGTAGAGTTGATTAACTCAGTTCAAAACACTCTGACACCTTAAACATGGCCGCCATATTTCACGAATATCACGCTAGGAGCGCTGAAATATAGCTGTTTGCCTCTCTATGTATCTCTAACTCGTTGATTAGTACAGATTAAAATGGTTACTACTGTGTATGTTTATGCGAATAAGGGGAATATGTTTAGATGATCTTTGCACGCTTAAGTAATGTATTCTCTAGTATTGCTTACAGTTCAACTTACAGCTTGTGATTGTCGTGTGTATTAAATTCGCGCAGGGGTCGCGCGCACAAACTTCGGAAATGTAATACCAACTTTACATAATAATACAACCCTCAGTGCTGTCAACACAAGCGTATTACGCAGCTTCTACACTGGCGACGCAATCCGTAGTGCAATCGCTCGGCTGCTTTTTCAACAATACGATTCTGCCGCGTCTTCTGTGGAAAACGCTAAATTCTCAGAATTTGCCGACTAAGCCCAATGCTTCCTGCGCGGCGTCTGGGAGGTGGCGCGATCTTCCGGCAATCTTTGAAAGCAGTTCAAAGTCCGTTTCATCAAGTTACACTCGAAAAATGAATTCGTTTCCTCTGTGGAATTTTCCCGAAATTATTCTCCGGCCCGGTACGTTCTCTGTTAATTAGCGCCAAAGAAGTGTAATCAATGAAAGAATTCCCAGTATGGAGCCAAATTTGAATTTGGCCTCCTATGTGCCAACAATAATAGTTATGTAATACTATTTATACTACAATCTCTCTCCGAATGAACACATCTGTCATATTTTTTTTTGTAAAACTCATTAAAAATTGTAAAAATTTGTTGCAAAAACTAAATGTTTTACACAAATTTGACTATTATAACTGCTTTTCATAAGGTAAATCATGTCCCAACAATCAGACGTAATTCACAGGAATTCGCTCCCGAAACATTGTTGTCAAGCCAGAGTTGCATTTCAAACTGATTTTCCCCTAAGGCTAGCAATTTTTATTTCATAATTTTCAAATAGGTTTTATATAATTTCTAAAAGATTAATTTGTAAACGTATAGCAAAGGCTCCAATTAAAGAAACGAACAAAGAAATGTGAAATGATATACAAATTCTATCTTTCCTGTAGCATCCAACTCCTTAGAATCACCATTCATTTTCTGTAGACACAACGCGGATTTTCCGAGCGGGCGACTAAGTTTCAGGCCAAATTACCCCCAAAAATTCTCAAATTTGGAAAAATTCAACAGAATCTTATTTGAAGATCTGTTTTTGATGAACACTTTTCATTAAGAAAAAGTGTTTATTTTCATAATTTTAGTTTTAGGAAGATCCCGAATATTTGTTTGCAATTTTCGAAAACCAGGTTTTCCAACCAACATGAGACAGACACCATTTCCGTAAACGTCTTTCAGACTATTCAACAACACAATTTCATCTAAAACTATGGAGCAGTTTTTTTTTTTATGTTTTGAAAATGTCCCAGGGGTTTCATATAAAGTACCGCCCAAAGTTAAAATATCGGTCTCAAATACAAGGGGCCGCGACATCAGCCACATCGATTGGGAAATATAAATTAGGAGATAATCGGTTGAACGGTTTAGCCGCTAGCGTTGTTCACAGGCGGACGGACAGACAGACAAACGTTTTGCCGATAATCGAATTTTCAGTGTACCAACAAAACATGGATTCTGGGTGCACCACGTGTTTGAGAATATTTTTTCTAAATTTAGCATCTGGATTTATTCAATTTTCCATTGCCAGGGCCCTAAAAAAAAGAGATTTTCTGCCGAAAATTCATCCTTTTTTCGCGCAGCATTACAGAACTTTCTGTACACTGCGTAAGAAGCAGCTAGAAAGTAAAAAAAAGTATAACACGTCGTGTAGCCAGAATCCATGTTTTGTAGGTCCTTGATAGTAAAAATTGATTCACGGCGAAAGGTTCGTCCGCCTGTACGTGAACACTAGCGCGATAGCCGGCTTACATGTTTTACTGTATTTCGTATTTCCTGTGTGGGTTTGTCAATGAATCTTCGCTGTGCATAATTAATGGGTTCATATAAACTGGAAGTAAAAAAAAAGCGAACCTTAAAATTAAAAAAGCGCCAGAGAACTTGCTTTGAGTATTCGTTACTAAATTATATTTTTTTTCAATTCTTACCTTCCTGCCAATTCTTTGTCCAAATATTTTGCAGCAAGTTTAGCACCATACAGTTCACTATGTAATGCAAGGAGAGAGTTACGCAATGCTGAGTTCTCCCTTTGCAGTTGCATTACTTCACTTCGCAAAGATGCTACTTCTATCATGCCCAGCTGTAGACCGTCTTCCTTATCTAAAAAAGGCCAAGAAATTCATTTTATTACTTTCAAATTGTCAAGTAATAAGTGAAATACTATTACAATATAATTTTATTGGTAAATAAAAGAGTATTTAACAATGCTTTAAACAAAAAACCAACAGTAGGCTAGGTAAGTAATGAAAATGAAAGAAATTAAAAATAATTGTATTCATATACATAGAATGATTTTCAAGTATTTTCAATTTTTAAATAACTATTGAATTTTTGAAATGATTGTGAGGAATGAACTTAAATGTATTAATAATAATTTTAATAATATACTCTCAGTGGCGGAACCATCTTCCCACGGCCCTGCTGACAAGTTCAAGATCAGTGTCCCCAAACATGCTCACGCGCTAGCGCATATGTTCAACTTCACATTCGGCGAATTTTTCAACAATTTCTATAATATACATGTATGCACATATGTATGTGTATGTATATGAAGCGATGATGCATCACAGAGTAAATGAAATATAAACAAATTATGCATCATTTACAAAAATACACATCAACCATCGGGAATCTGAAGGAGTTGTACGGGGATTTCGTAAATAATGAGAATGTAATGGAAGGGCATTGTATCACTTATCTGGGAAAAGTGGAATTCGTGGTGATTATAATACCAAATGGGTAAGAAAGAAATTGCCGTGGGCAATACGTAAAAACCGGAAGAATCCATTGTTCATAGAATAAACTATACAAGGTGCTTAGACGGGATTAGCCAATCAGAAATGAGAAGACGTGCGAGGAAAATGGAAAATCAGCGCAGGAAAATAAAGAGAAACATAAATCTGTACAGTACTGTGCATTTTAGGAAAACAGAAAATAACGCTTGTAATGAACAAGGCATAATGTACACTCGGTGACGATCGAATGGAGTTAGAAGGTTCTCAGACGTAGAGAAGGTATAAGTTAGCTGGTTGACGGGATAAATATTTTTATCCACTTAGGTTAAGTAATGTGAAACATTATGCTATTATAATCAGTTTCGTAATGAAGTACTTTACCACTCTAGTGTGGTAATGAACTTCATTACCACACGAGAGTGGCAATAGCATACGAGTACGGTTATTCTGAGACGAGCACTATTCCATTTATTTGCACACTAATCCTTAAAAATTGAGTACTCAAGTTCTTATTTATTCTTTGATTTGTATGGTAACAAATCTATAGCAGCATTTGCTGCTATTTCTACTTCTGAGTCTGAACTGCATTCGCTCATGTTGTCGAAATGTGGACATCATGCGCGTTTCAATTGTTCTCCTTGTTAAGAACAGTGTTGCCACTTAAAGGAGAAAATTTGAATACTAAATGAAAATGATATTCTTAAATCTAACAAATTTTTACAAAGTGGATAAAACGTTGTACGATATTCGTGACGTAACATCTGATCACAATACTCAATTGGTTACCAAACTCGTCCTAACGGTCTCGTTTGGCAATTTTCCAATCTCGTATTGTAATCAGATGTATTATGACACTAATATCGTAAATAACTATGAGTCGAAGTACTTATCTTGTGTGGAGAAGAGAAAAATGCAATGGTATAATTGAACTGCCCGCCCGCCCGCGTTTTCAAACTGTTGTTTTAAACGTTTGGTGGGGATAGTGTTAAACAGAGAGTACATATCGTGTTAAATGCACTGCGACGCCATTAATGCCATTTTGGTCTATTCTATTTTGCAGAATTCGGCATTTTCCAAATCTTTTCTTCAAACTTTTTGCGCGAATAGTGCTACTTACACTATTTAAGAGGACACAAAATAATTTTTGCTGTATTTTTTCAAATATTACATCATTTTTTAACAATATCTTTCGCACCATTAATATGTACATTTCCAGCGATTACATTTGTGAGTTGAAGTGCTTCAAATGATATATACTCTCTGCAAATGACTTCCAATGAAGCTTTTTGAAAATTCAAACATTCTGTGGAAAAGAGCTAAATATTTCGTATTTGCAGTAACGGCTAAACGCCATTTTTTTAAAAACGGCTCCCAATGTTTCAACGAAAATTTGCATTTACTCTCCTTTAATATTCTTGAAATAATATTTCATTTCTATCATTAAGAAATCGAGAAATTGAGAATTTTTTAAAAATAAAATGTACTTTGGGCGGCGGTAGATGGCAGCTGGCATGGGATTGAGCCAAGACTTAATAAATTAAAAATCTAAATAGCACGAAAACTCTGTGCTATTCTGTAGCACCACTCGTTTTAATTGATTTATTGATGTCTTGTATTTGTTACACAAAGTCGCTAATAAGCACGTCTTGGATGCGACTATGCAACCCCCCCCCCCAAATCCTCAATTGATCTGGCGGGTGTCAAGGCCACGCATTATTTCATTTTTTCTGTAATTTTTGAAAAAAACAAAAGAACAGAGCAAAATGTCATTTACGTCCTATTGGTTGTCAGTTCCACTGAAATGTCTAAATGTTCGAATACTGCACAAGTTCTATTATTTTTCAGCGTCTGCCTACAGCTGCAGTATTGAAGATCGAGTATTTTATCAGAATAAAATCTGTTGTCAAAATTATATCTTGAAACGACATATACATTTTTTTTCAAAATACGAATACATTTGGAGTAATTTGGCACAAAATGAAGGCAATTTTAAAAATAAGATATCCTCAAAAATCTTTTGGGGCGACGATTTGCAGTAGACGATCGTCAGTCGTGCATGGCTTGTTAGTTGCTTGCTTTGCTGGTTCGGACAGTTTTCAGCCGTACACGTTTAAAGTGATTATTGTATTTACTGTTTATACAGACTACGAGTAATCTCAATAAGGGCCAACATATACCTACAGGTGGACTAAAAACGTTCAAAATAGAGTAAAATATGGACTAGAAATTAAATTAAAAATTTTAAAATGATGATAATAAATTAATCAAATGTTTGAATTAAATAAACCAAAACTGTCAAAGAAGTTAATTTTAATATTAGCTCTTGAACAAGATATAATTATATCCATACAAAACTAGGGCGAACACTATTTTATTTCTGAAAGTAAGTTTGCTGTTAATTGGCCATTTTTCAAAGCAGCAGGTTACATGCAATTTCAAATGTCGAACTGCGTTTTATTTTTTACCATTGTTTGCAAATGTCTCAAATGATGCTCAACAGCAGAAGTAGTAATGGAGTTCAACTTACATTTGAATGTGTTATGAAGTAAAGTCCAGATCCCATTCTAAACACGATTAACAATTTGAATTGTAACGGAATGATCATGGAAGATAAAAACAATCTTCGAGGAATTTGAAAGGCAGTAATGTGGAATATATTGGGAGGAAAATGAAATATATTGCTTTGTTGACATATGCAAAGATATGAATCTTCCTTAAATATGTGAAAATATGTACTTTACCTGAAAATACGGGCAAATATGGATAAATGAAATGGGATTCAAATCAGTTCATAAAAGCTCATTAGAAAACTTGAGAAAAGTAGGATCGCAACTAACGGTCAAATATGTAATTACTACATACAAATCTCGGCGATAACCGTCTTAGAAATAGACTTAACTAGATACTAAGAACTAAGTGTCACATATCATAAAATAACAATACAAGATTGTAGAATTATTTAAAATTAAGACGACTTTAAACACTCAATGAGTATACGAATATTATACGTTTTATCCACTTTGTAAAAATGCCAGGAAAGTGATTTATTCATTTTTCTGAGAACGTCTATTTCTCTGGTCACTTGTCCCTTTAGACAAGTAAATGTTGTATGCTAGATGTCGGACCACCGCCGCAGCCGGAAGAAGCTCCAAGCAGCGACGTGTGTGGTAGAGCAGTGCATGTAAGTGTAAGGGGAGGGTGCAAACAGATTGTGCACGGTCCAGAGCAGCTGGCCGTCGGGATTCGCTTGGGCGCCGGCTCACTTACTGCGCTGCGGCTGGCGCGCGGGCGAGCGCTGCAGCTCCTTCTCCAGACGGCGGCGGATGCGTTCGGCCTGCGGCTCCAGCGCGGGCCCCGCCCCCGCTGTGTGCTGCAGCTGCGACGCGTGCAGCTGTAGCAGCAGCGTGTGCAGCTCCTGCTCCAGCGAGGCGCGCGTCGCCTTCGCCTCCACCACCTCCGCGCGCAGGTGCACCAGCTCCGCCTGCCAACGCCAAGCCACTCACATAAACACAACATTTCCCAAACAACTCGACCGAATATGCAGCTGCAAAACCTAATTCTCCACGCTCATCATTACTATACATTAGGCGTGTTAAAAATGGATAGAAGTTCTATTCAGAAGCTTACGAAAGATATTCATATTTAGAATTAATCTCAGTGTTGCTATGATAGGCCAAGGAGCGACCTACACGCGACATACGGGGAGTGAAACTAATTTTTGCTCGTTATGCAGGGCCAGTTTGTGTCACGAACCACAGCACGGGCTTTCCGTTTGAAAAGCCAGGCCAGACCAGACCAGACCAGGACCAGATGCTGGCCGCCATGTTGCGTGGGCGAGAAATGTTGAGAAACATTTTGAAAGTGGCATAAAGTGACACTTTTCAACTGCGAATAACCGAAAATAACAAGATGACGCAATATTTAAAAGAAAGCTTATGTATCAGTTTCAATGATTTCATACAAGATTATTTCTGGTTGCATTCAAAATACCCGCTTATATTGCGACGCAAGCGGGAGCCCGAATTCATTGGCTGGAGTCTGATGTGAGTGCACGAGCTCACCCGTATCTTCCCATCTTGCAGGAGATCAACCAACAATCGGGAAACCACACGCGACATAGGCGAAGACTGTCCAAACTACATTAGTGTGGTCGATGTAGGAGGATCTACCTTGTAAAACGTGGGGTAAAAACGTTTTCTCTTTGTATTGGTCTCCGAGCCGATTTACGCGCTTCCTTGTGCCGAACGATTTCGGAGTTCAAGCGAACGCGAAAAAAATATACATCATTATATTTAAACTACAACATCACATACTTTCTCGCATTATTTGTAATTGCTCGTATTATTTCCAGTATATCATAGAGGCAAGCAAGGATAATTTCACATATAAATTAAACATCCAGAACTAAACGCCATTCAGTAAATCGCACTATGAACGCATTCGAAACGACGAGAGTTACCCTACGCATATCTGTAAATACATCCTTCCCGACTTTAATAAAATTGAAGATACCATATCCCTTAACGTAGAGGGCATTGTAACACGAACGTTAAGTAAATAAAACCCCCTTATCTTTCCCATCACGTCGTCGTTCAACAATGATCAATTGCTAAATGTTGCCCAATGTACACTTTGATGGTAGTATAAAATCAAAGTAATAAAAGTTCCTACAAAATTTTGATACCCAATTTTTCTATTTTTCTTTCATATAGCATTTAAATTGTAAAATTATAAGAAAAACTAATTGGGCTAATTTCAATTAAAGTTTGCGTATTCCTTGAAAGAAAATTCTATACACCTGCGGAACACATGTGTGCAATAAAATATACAGATTCAGAAACTGTCTACCCTACTCGACAAGAAATTGAAACTTTGGGACAAACGGTTCGCATCTTCATGTGGCTACAGCAGTGAAGCATCCTCGATTAAAGCAGAGCATAACTATCCCAGTAAATTCAATGGTGCATTTGCATGAAATCTCCACTCACGACTGATGAAGTGTGATTAAAAACATTTTTATATGGAAAGCTCCTAGGCTTGATGGCCTCCAGAATGTCTGGTACAAAAGATTCCACCGTCTCCACGTGCGACCAGCTGAAGTAATGAAAGTGTAATAAAAGAGCCGAGTGAAATGCCTAGATTCATTACACAAGGTATTACTTTTTTGACGTATTTGAGCAAGATACACATACTCGCCAGAACTCGGCTAAATACCGCCCGATCACGTGTTTTCCAAGACTGTACAAGATCATCACATCATTCCTTGTGAACGAAACATTTTAGCGGAAGAGCGAAAGGGATGCAGATAGGGGTCTAAAGGGTGAAAACAACAACTAATAACAGACTCGGCTGTGTGTAACCGGGCGTCTACGAAGAATAAACATGCATTGGGCATATGTGATTTCAAAAATGGCTTTCGATTCTGTTCTCATTGATTAGCTATTAGCAGTACCTCGGTTTTAGAAAGCCGATTCGGCTGTAATCTCGTGCCTGACACATGTGATTACCTAGAGAACGAAGAACCTCTCGATAACACCAACTCACACCGCTGAGACTGATGACATCCCTACAAACGTGGGATACTTCAATTTGATTCACGCGGGGTACTTCAAGTCCACTAATTCGAGCATGAACCCCTTGTCCAGTATGTTAAACGCCATATAGTACGGATTTACGAACAAATCAGGAATCAAAGTATTATATCGCATTAACCACCTGGCTCTTATGGACGATGTAAAGCTGTATGCTTCAACTATGACCTATCTCATACATTCCGTGAAAACTGTGGAATGATTTTCGAACGACACAAGGATGCATTTTAAACTGGACAAATGAGCAGGGAGTTTGGTTAAAGGAAAGCTGCAAAATTCTGGATACAAACTTCAAGTGGAAGAATATGCGGGATGGAAGCTAAAGAAATATATCGATATCTGGAAAATGGGCACGCTAGGCGCATTGAACATACTAAAACAAAGAATGAACTTACCACGGAATTTAGCCAGAGAGTAATAGAATTTTAAAAACTGGACTTCATGGAGGAAACACGTCCAAAGCTATTAACACTTGCGATGTACATCTTCGAGATATGCGGTGTAATTAAATAACAGCAATAATAATAATAATAATAATAATAATAATAATAATAAACATGGTGAAAACAATAGATTTTACATTTCTTAGGAACCTCAAAACTCTCGAGGGCTGTAGTTGAGCTCAGGTGGAGTACAGACGCGAGCAGAACGAGTGCGTGGCCCGTTACCAACCCAGAAGCGAACAGCAGGGGTCGTGTACGAGATGAAACTTCCCTCGAGAAGAGATGGTGCGTCACAGCGCGTGCGCGAAGTGCGTAATTAAGCCAAGGATTCCGCGAGCACAATAACACGGCAAGCAACAAAGCTTCGGACAACACTATTAGAGGGACGGAGTCTGCGACTCTCCAGCCAGAGGCAAAGGGGGACGGAGCCAGGTGCCGAGAGGCAACGGGGCAACGGGGTCGTTGCCCTCCACTCCCGCCCGCCGGCGTGCACCGGCTAATCCTGCGACAGTGATACCGTGCGGTGATAGGCGGCGAGCCTCATGTCACAGTAAGTGGCTGGATTAAACTCAAAGCCAAGGCACGTTCTTCCTATTTCCACAAGCCCAGCAACGCTGCAAGTATGAAAAAACAACTCGGGATGGAAGTGCGGGATTATGATTACTGGTTGAACGATTTTTGACTTTGATTGTTTATTTTATTTTGGGAAGAACTTAACAGGAAATCTCAACGACAAAAATATGTTCTCAAGAATGACTTCAAATTCATAGATCTTTTTTGAGTGGAGCTGAGTATACTTTAAAAAAGGCGCAGTTCTGATTTTCTCGGAAAATTCGCTGAATTTTTGTCATCAATCAGGAATAGGATCTATGAATATCAATTTTCACGAAAATCTGTTCCCGATTTAAGTGATAGTTTTGCTTACAGAGAGACGATTACCAAAAACCCCTTCATGGATACGTCCCCCAAAACATGGTTTCGGACTATTCTACGTTATCGAGCTCGTAAATTGTTTACAAAAAAGGGCAAAAAATCCAGTTTTTAGAGATCAGGAATACAAAAGTTCGTCGGAAGTGGCAATTTTTACTGCATTAATACAATACCTTTTCTATACACTACATAGTAGAATAGGTGCAAGAAATACCAAGCCCAAGTCCGTTGGACATTGCTGTCCGATTAGAAATCCATGCAAGGCATGAATGTGTTCCTGGAAATGGAGCATTCCCAGCCCGTCGTTTATTATACCAATACCCTAATTGTCCACAGTCCCTCCACTTCACCGGGAACTGGGTGCGAGCTCCTTGCGCTATCTGCATTTGGGCATAATTTAGGAATTGTTCCCCCGCACCCACGAACAATAAGACAAGAACCACGCGAGGCCACGGGCTAACTCTGGTGTTTCTGTAACGGTACACGGGATGGGCCCAAGGGCTACACTGGCGTTTCGATCGGGGAGAGATGTTCACAGCGGTGGTGACGGGGAACGCACTGATAGGCCCTTCAGGCGGCGCACACTCGTTCCATCGGGCGAAAAACTTGGCCGTTTGGAATTCTGACTTATCAAATCTCGTTTGGAAGACATTGGAGCACAATACTTCACCTCCAGAAAATTATTTTATCACTTTTGTCGATCACAGGATGTCGTAAAGTTACCGTTGCTCGAATGACTCATTCATTAATCCTTGCCGATAATCGTGAAATTAAAAAAAAAAGTATTTAATTTTTTGTGTTTCCGTATAGAAGACACTTTTAGCTGTCAGTTTATTTTATCAGTCATATTTTTAAGAAAAAGTGTCTAATATTTTTATATACGATGTGGCAGAATCCTAACCCACGAAGCGTAACAAAGTTAATCATTAATTATTGTAATTATTAATTAAATGCTGGTGAGGTAGATACATTCTAATAATTAAACATGGTTAATTAAAGGTGTCGTCTGGTATCAACAATGAGAACATTGTTTTCAGCCCAGAAGCTGCAAGCTCCGAGGATGATCGCCACGCGATCAAAACGATCATTAGCAAAATAAATTGTTGATACAAGCCAACACCTTATTTAACTATTATTAACCACAATTAACCATATTTAATTAGTCATGTAAATTGTATATCATATTTTTTAACGTGCATAGTCCTGTCTTTATCATTTTTTAATCAAATAGAATGCCCTTAATCAGAATACAGATATAGATACATATATCTGCAACTTTTTGTTTTATAGCCACTCTCCCGGGGGTGTCTTCGACGCCACAGGAAATTCATTTCTCGGTATTTTCTTTCTTCTGATAATTGCTTTTAATATGAAAATTACTGATATACATTTTTTGGAATCATTCAACAATAATAACCCATGCCGCCGAGCACTTTATGATTTTTAGTGTACTTTAAGAATTTCTATTTTCTTGACGTAAAACCAAGACTATACGTTCTATGGGTGTAAAAGTGAATTCAATGAGGTTAACTCA